GCTCTCACATGGGCACAGCCCAGACGCGGCACTCAGTCAGGTCCCGGTTCACAAAGCAGGTACAGGGAAGGGGCTGAGGCTGCATCCTGGGCGCAGATCCAGCACAAGAACATAGCGCCGGCAGTGACTGGTTTACAAGGGGCACCACGCTCTTCAGTGAGGACCCCGCTCTCTGTGAAGGGATTGCTGGGACCTGCCCCTTCACACACCAACACTCACTTTCTCTACCCAGTTTCAGGAAGCGATGGGAGAGCGGGGACCAGAAGAGGAAGGGCGGATGGAGCGGGCAGCACTGTCTGGCTTCACGAGGGCAGTGCTGCCATAAAGCTGCCATGACACAGGGAAGGAAGCTGAGCAACCTCTGCCCCCACGGGCGGGAGTGGGTCTGAGCACCTCCCAACTCTCCTCTCTGACCCTTCACCTCCATAGCAGAGTTAAGTGGTAAGAGGTGATGGGGCCATGAGGGCTCCTCTCTCAAGAATGGGACAATAGCCTTTAAAGAGACGGGGACAATAGCCTTTAAAGAGAGACTGGCCCGGGCCGGTCCGCCTGCCCCTCGAGCTGCTGATGCCTCGAGTTCAGACTTGCAGCCTCCAGAACTATGAGAGCTTAAGTTAATCTCACTTTTTTTTTTTTTTTAAGAGTTTTTTGCTATAGGGCGCGTGTGCTCACCAGAAAGACAGAGAGACAGAAAGCAAGAAATCACCCCTCAGTGGGGATGGCCACACCACAATCCCTCCTCCTCTATTCTCCTCTCAGGATCTTGGGCACGCATGCACACGTGCCCGGCATGAATTTAAGCCACCGGGTCCAGGACTCAAACCACAGTCAGCTACATGGGAGTCCAGCAACACAGCCATTATGCCAACTGCTGGTCCCAAGTTAACCTCACGTTTATTTCTGTAAAGAATATTGACAAGATAGGGATGAGGTAGAAAATAAGACACAGCTTATTGTCTTAGCTGACAAAACCAGAGACCCATCCTGCTTATTAAATATGTTGATGTCTGCAAATTCTTTACCCTCTGACTGACTCACTTTTCGGAAGCTAGAGCAATTCTTCACCCAGCTCCTACAGCACACCCTTCCTCCCAGTCCGTAACTTCAGTACTCCCACAGACCGTGGACGGGCACCGCCAGGCCCTGCTCACACCGCAGTGCTGTCTGCTTCACTGCCTCCATCCCACCGACAAGAGTGGGCCGGCCTCCTGTGCTGGGCTGTCCGGGGCACCTGAGCGCTGCTGTCCACACTGCCTGTCACGCGCGAACTCGCAGGACCGAACAGTGCATTTAGGACAGGTTCCACATGAACTCTATTGCAGTGAGCACGTGGAGCGATTCCGGGGCTCAAACACCACGTATGGCAGAAACGAGGGACTGCGTTGCCTTTACATACGAACTTTATGAGGGGAGTATCAGACGCGACGACACGAAGATGTTCCAGTTTACATCTAAGGAAACCTCATTTCTCTCCAGAGGCTTTTACGACTGAAGTTCTCTCCCTTCTCTGGCATCGTAGGTGATGCAGGAAGGTGGAAGTGCCCACACACTGAAACAAGATGGCACTTCCAGGCAGCAGAGCTCAGGGACGCAGAGTTTACCTTGTGAAAAGTGGTACGGGTTTTGGTCAACACCAATCTTGTAACTAGCCTTTCTTTAAAAACAAAGCAAATAAGATAAAAATGAAATGTCAACTCACGAACAGAAACAAAAGCCAAGTCCCGTTTTGGGTTATCTTCAACCCTGGATATACGATTACAAACAGGGCATGCCTGTGTGTTGTTTTGAAAATGACATTCAATACGAGAATATAACTTTATGCTTGGATAAAACGTTAACCCTACATCAGAAGTTTCTCTACCACAGGGAAAGTGTGACAGAGTTTTCTCAGCAAGCAGGCACAGTAAAGAAACCCTCTGGCATGTAATTCCAACGGCTGAGAGATCATGAGTGCTTTTCCGGAATCCGTGCGAGGAGGCCCTGGGAGAAGGCCAAGGAGCATTGCCCAACCTGCCCTCCTAACACCTAGGTGCACTAGCTCGTACATCTACAGCCACCCACGGGAAAGCAAGTGCCCCCATGCAGCCTGAGGAGACACCGCATCTGTGCATGCCCAGGCTCTGGTGGGCTGCCAGGGCAAGCGCCCTCCTGTCTGCAGACCTGCTCGGTCACGGTCTAGGGCTTGCACTGGAGCCTTTCCACTTGGAGCAGAGATGGGCACAGGCGGGCAGTGCCGCTGGTGCCACCTGGGGGCACACGCTCACCTTCACGGTTTCCAAGTCTCCAGCTTTCGAGGCCTCAAGGAGTCGGTAGTCAACGTCGGAGGTGCGCACGGGGGTGCTCTCTGCAGAGAAGAAAGACAAGACTACCGTGGGTTCCCGAGGGCCAGAGCAGAGACAGAGGCCACTATCTGATGGTCAGGAATTTCTGAGCTCCGGTATGGAATCCCCATCACCTCCAGAGAAGAAGTCAGTTTTCTTGGCCGGTCTACACCCTTGTCAACTAAGCCCAATTTAAACAAAGTTTGTAGAAGGTAGGGAGGAGACCCAGAGCCAGGAGAGCAAGAATGTGTACAGAACACCGATCTCACAAAGCATCGTGGCCAAGCCTG